CCAGTTCAAATCCCACACCCTCGAGATGCCGTGTATTCTGCTGTACTTTCACTCGCTTCACTCGTGAAAGTACGGCCCGCAGGATACACCGCATCACTCGTGAAAATAACTCCCATACGCAACGAAAGCCACGGGGAGGGTGTGGGGTTCTGCCATATTACTGCACGACCAAATCTTGGAGAATAATTATATTACTGACATCTTCTAACTGATTTTCATGACCAGTCATGTATAAATGCCTTCATTCCCTGCAATTATGTTCACCAATGGTTATTACTGCTTTTATTTTCCTATAAATATATTGTGGCCCTATTTGAAGTGAACCAAAGTAAATATACAAATGAGTAGTGTAAAACTGGTAAAGTCATCAGGTATTACACAAAAAACAAGATTAATATTCATGTTCTTCAATTAAGGCAAACCTGATATGGATCACAGCCACTGCCATGAATAGGTAACGTAATGCATGTTTAATAAGAGATCACATGATCAGGAATTAACTGTTTGTCAATCTCTGGAACTAAGCGTTGACGCACTGTTCATACAACATACCTTATTCCCAAAACAATTTACATCAGGCATTTATGGAAGAAATCTCACACGGAGAAACAAAAACCACCTAACTTGTTTTTAAACTCAATTGGTCATACCCTCTTATACACACGAAACACTGGCATACCCGTGGTACCTGTGAAGTAATGCCATGAGCTGCTATAACTTTTCAGTGTCCAACTATTATTGCTATAGTGGTAATAAAGCACTATACTTCGCTATCATCTTCTCTTGCCAGAGCTGGTTGCGGAGCACTGTACAGATTTGGAATATTACCAGTTACATCTCCTTCCCTCATCTCCATTGCGGCATCATAGCTTGGAGGTGGCGGAAGACTTTCTTCTCCGGGCTGAGTAGACACACTGTTATATGCCGGGGGTTGTTCTATTGCTGGTGCTGATGGTTGCGGTGGTGTGATCACAATAGGAACCGTCGTATCAGCTCGTCTGTTCTGTTGACTGCCTTGAAATGGTTCATACCAAGAAGGGTAATGCTGATATGCTGGGAAAGAAAAATAATCTGCCATCATGTATTCTGTGTATTAAGATGTTTTAGAGTATATTAATATTTGCGAGAGGTACTTGTATATTAATGTCTCAGAATGAAATAGTATTATAGTGTTAGTGTGGTTATATTGACTCTGTTTTTGGAGTAACCTGACGTTTTCATGAACATTTGCTATCAATTTGATACTAAACAATCAGAATATGTATTGACATAGATGGATACTGAAGAGTGTGCACAAAGATTGTACAATTGACAACCTGTCTGCCTGAATACCTTGTTGTATCCTTATACAATGGTTATTTAATTAATATACATCAGTCAGAACCAACTATTTGGTTTCCAAGGACACCATTAACAGTAACATGTGACAAGGAATGACTGCATCAGCTATATAGACAATTTGATTTTCCATTAGTGCCATGCCCATTCTCTAAGAATCAGTCAGCATGTAAAACACACACTTTACACTGCTGTATGTTAAAAGATACATCATTCCCAGGTGACATTACAGTCACATGTGACAAGAAATGACACCATCGGTGAGCCATTGTAAATTTTCCCTAGTACAACATCCATTCTCTAAGATTCAGTCAGCATGTGAAACACACACTTCACACTGCTGTATGTTACAAGATACATCATTCCCAGGTGACATTGCAGTCACATGTGACAAGAAATGACACCATCGGTGAGCCATTGTAAATTTCCCTTAGCATCACACCCATTCTCTAAGACTCAGTCAGCATGTAAAACACACATTGCTGTATGTTACAAGATACATCATTCCCAGGTGACATTGCAGTCACATGTGACAAGAAATGACACCATCAGTGAGTCATTGTAAATTTCCCTAAGCATGTACCACACCCATTCTCTAAGATTCAGTCAGCATGTAAAACACACAATTCATACTGCTGTATGTTAGAAGATACATCATTCCCAGGTGACATTGCAGTCACATGTGACAAGAAATGACTGAATCAGTTAGACATTTTTAATTTTCCTTAGTGCCATGCCCACTCAGTTAGCCAGTGACAATTACATTCACTACTGCATTTGCTCTATTAGTAGCCCTTGTAATTACCAAAAACCAAAAAGGTGTGTCTATGGTCAAAATGATTTATATTTTGATAATCCAGTATACCATAAATGCATTTTTTGTTTATGTGTGTTTCTAACAAAGTGCATACAGTATCCAAAATTTAAATATAGAAATATTCTTACGTTGTTGTGAAGATGGTGGTTGTGGTGGTACTGTTGTTCCCACAACTACTGGATGACTTGTACCAGTTGTCACAGTGGTAAATCTAGAGGTGCTAGTAACATTACGTCCTCGGCTCCTCAATCTCAGTCGGATGATGCATATTGCTATGGTAACAACAAAGAAGATAACAACACCAACGATGTACTGAATATATGTAGTTTCACCTGATGAATCTGAGGAGTCGTATTTATCATCGTTCCAGCCTAAAAAAAAAAATGTTATACTGTAAATGGGATAATTTTTATACTGGGTTTCAATTTCACTCTTGACAAATGATGTCCATTAAAATTAAATTCACATAATAAACAATTCAAATTACAATAGAATTTCTGTCAAATAAGGACACTAAATTAGTATGTATTTACATATTAAACTAATCTGACTCATGTGAATGTGTGTGACAATTAATACACAAGTGAAAGCATTTAATACAAGTATAAATATTTATCTTATTTTTAATCTCACACTGCAGCAATTAATTTAAGATTAGTCACATAAGTACCTCTATAAATACAATAATAAAAACACACGTACCAAAATAGTCTTGACAGGTTGAACCACTGTATCCAGAATCACAATGACATATTCCATTAGAACAATAGCCATTATAGTTACAGTCACCATTTGTAGAACAGTCAGTACCCATGTCACAAAAGGGTCCTGTGTAGCCAGGATTACACACACACGTACCAGATGAGCAGTATCCATAACCACATTCATAGCTATACGTACAAGCTGTTGAACAAAAGCATTAACAAATACATATATAATTTACAATATTATTTGATATCTACTGTAAAAACATTTGTTTCATATCATGACAGCTGTTAAAACCATTTTTGTACTTATTTTACCTTTTAAAAAGTGCTAACATCTTGCAGTAAAATCAACGCCAAACTTGCAATTGATAAATCATATAGTGCAACTTTGATAATAATGAATTTTACTTCTGCAATGCATTGAGCAATTGCAAAAACTGTAGTTTGATTGGTTAATGCCATTCTTGACCTATCAGGTCAAAGGAAGCAATGGCAGTTCAATGGCAGTTC